ACACATGGTCTACGAGCACGTTATATCCACCCCCGACGAACCCCTACCTATCGAAACTGGCTGCCCAGCCTGCCAGCTAAACGGACTGCGTACCTCTACGCAGGTAACTATCGCTAACCGTGACCGAGGAGGGCTACGTGATATTACGGAGGGACCAAGAGGCTGCACGCAGGAGAACGAAACGATGGCCTTAGCTATTAAACCTAATCCGGACGTTGTAATCGATTCGAACGAAATTCCTACCGGAAGAACCGTTGGCTGCCCATTAGATTCCTCCTATTGCGTTTGTAAAATTGATTTGATTAATCATAAAACGAAATCGTTCGTCGAACATTCCACTTACTTCTACGAATGAAATATAGAAAGTGGAAAAGTGCAGTTGAACATTGAGTGAATGAAATCTGTGGGGGCAGAAGTACGAATGGAAAAAAAAAAGCATCTGAAAAATGAAATAGATCGAGCAAGGGGAGACGACAGAGGGAGGAGCCGCATAGTCCCAGATTGCAAAAGGGAGAGCAGCTCGGTATTGCCTGTTATATCTGTAAATGGTCGCGGGTCCACGGCGATCGAGCAGGTCGAGTGTCCACTGCCCGATTGCGCTGATCTTTCCCTTTGTAATTTATTGCACGGAATTCAAAGCGGTCGTTGTTTCGTGGACGCTCGCGTCCCACCTACTTCCCGGGTTACATAAGCGCGTTTATGCGAGCGATTCGATGCTCCAACGATCACGGTACATGCTAGAATCGATCGTGCCTGCGAGTTTAGAGGGTTGAAAATCCAATCTAATTGCGATCCCGCTTTCGGGAGGAGACTTTACCGAGCAATTTTATCTAAGGGGAACGACCAACTTCCTTCTCGCGTGATGCAACAACGATATATCGTCGAGAACTTGGGTTCACAGAAGAAGCTCGTTAAAGAATCGTTACCCGGATGAAAGAATGAAAAAAATGGAGCTCTAATCGATTATTTTACGCCGTCACATTTTTTTTACTTCCATCTGCGAAAACAGGAGAAACTGGGTGAAATAAAAGGAGGACTTGCGAGCATATTTTTAGAGCTGTTCCCTCCGCGTAATTAATCCCGCCATAACATTAAAAATCGCTCGATATCTTTGCATTGTACGTCGCTGTTCGTGTCTCTCGCCGTTCAGTGGAGTCACGCGAGGAATAATAGACAGGATTTTTATCAGCAGAGCGCAGAGATAATACGATGAGTCTAGCGTATTCGGAGCGCTAGTCATGCATGTCAAGCGCAAGCTAATGTGTATAGAGCAATTGGCCCTGATTCGAGGCGTGTCACTAGCCAAGTCAGCGGTTACTATTCCTGTCGTTCACATTCCCGTATTCGTCGCTTTCCAAAATTCCTCGAGATACCATCCTTCTACCCTTGTTATGAAATGAAAGAAACTTTCACACGACGTCATGAATAAATCGCAGACTCGGCTATCTGTGCACTAAGAATTAACAGAAAATTCTGAGATGCCCTATTAGATTGGTCTGTGTGTGTACGCTCGTCATGAACGGCACTTGCGGCAGGCATTAAATTGAAAGCACAATGCTACCGAATGGAGATCGCGTTTCGGTGCTGCTGATTTCCAGCCGCTATCAATTTTCGCGTGAATTATAATACCGTACAACCGATGATGATTCTAGATGGTTAATTATCGACTCAGGGAAAAAGCCTCTTAGTGCGTTGCAGGGCATGTGAACTTTACACTCCGATACACTGCTGTCTACAGGGAGGGAACGAGCGGAACGAAAGATAAAAGAACAGTTCGATTCACACCTGCTCCGATCTAATTACTTCGGCCACTCAACATTTATTTAACACGGAAACGTCGTATGACGCCTTCTGATAATTGTGATCGTATGTTCTCCGAGTATTATACAACTCAATTCTCGTTATCGTTTCCACGTAATTGAAGCAATTGTTGTGCTCGTCACTGACTCAGAACAAAACGTCTGGAAATTAATGAAGAAAGAAAGTTCGATGGAGAAGCATGAGATACCAGGACTGAAGAGGTACTTTCGTCAAACCAAAGTGAAATCACAGTAGCGTGTAACCTAAGTCATATTCAGCTCTTTCCACGGATAACTCCACCGGTTTAAAGACCTTTGCCCGTCACTTCGCACCTTCCGCCACCCTACAAAGCCGCTCTCTGCCACCCTGAAGCTGAGAACCGTCATCCGAGCGTTTTCACCGAGCGTTAAACACTGAACTCGGTACGCCTTTCGTCTGCACTTCTGAATCGTCCGCAAATTCAACGGAAATTCAATGAAGATTGCTCGACACTCGGTGCCTACCCGAATCGCGCGGCAATTGTCAGTTCAAAAATCGCATCGACCATGTTCTCGGTCGCATTATGCATTTTTAATTATTGGATCGATGCGATTCAAAGTGACGTTTGACGACAATATGCATTTCTACTTCTTGGAGAAACGCGTAAGAACCGGGTCACCGAAGGAACCAGGTTCGGGACACAATTCAAAGTGAAATTAGTTGAAACGCCGAACCGACGGACTCTCGCCTTCGAATCTGCTTTGCTGAATGAGAATCTAGCCGCGCTTGACCGTGCCTTTGGGATTCGTATTTGTTTAGCACGAAGGGGGAAGAAATTCCGAGAAATAACAATGACTTGGATGCAAATCAGCTCTCAACTTGCAAATTCACTTCCACGATTCACCCAATTCAGAAACAATTTCTTTCGCTCTTTCTCAAGTTCCATTTACCAGAGACAGTTTCTCAGCACCCTCTAATTTATCGATCGTCGCGTTACTTGTAAATAGAATCTCTTAGTTTAACGACGATTTGTCGAGATCGCGGTCAATCGCTAATGAATGGATTTGTACATACATGAAATACAGTCTTCAAATAAATGCATAAACAAATGTAAGGAAATTGGAAAAAATTAGGTACGTACCTCGCCATCGCCGTCGTAGTAAACGAGGAAGCGTTTCGTGAGGACGAACCAACGTTGCTTGTAGTTGACGGGGGTGAAACGTTTCTTGTTCTGCGAACGCTTCACCATGAACCCCTGCCTCACCACGTCCCCGCTTTTCGGTTCCACCTTCCCATCTTTCCCCGCCATCCCCGATGGAGGGCCACCCTGTGAACAGGAACCAACGATTCGATTATCAGTGTCGATTTCAAACGACGCTGAGTGGAGAATTTCTTAATAGGGAGCGGTTTGCGAATTAACGTGACACAGTTGCATCTTAGAAATTCAGTAAAAGCGATTAAATCGAACCGATCGCATATCATGATTTGATTGCTGCTACAAATATATCTATGGTCTGACGTAAGCTCGTCAGAATATCGAAAGTTGAGACATTTACCTAGCACACATGTTTTAAACTGATACCGGGAAAGTTTTATTTTACACGGACACACCGCAATCTAATAATTATATTACGCCCGAACAAGATTTGGAGAGCAGTGAGAAGGCGAGGGAGGTCGCGGTTTAGGTCAGGTTTTACGCTTATCTTATACGGATCAGTGAAACGTTTGAGAGATGAAAAAACGAATGGGAAGTCTTTCGGGCTCGGTGAGTAAGATATGTATGAAGGTTTTAGAGATTCTGGACCTCCATTAAAGGCCGCGTGACTCGTTCGCGAAGAATTTCCATTCAAAATAGAGAGCCAAAGAATCGGGCTGAAACCCGTTCGCAGGAGGTGAGCCTAGACCATGACGATTTCCGTCCCCGTAATGGGAACTGAATTACCGGGCAATCTCATTTTTCAACGAAGGAAATAACACAACTTTACGATCGAATAGAAAAAATTCTGTCGCCTAAAAGATTATGAGCGGAGTGCAACGACTCGGGAAAATATACTGACACGCGTAAACGCGTCTAATGCGGAGCACAGAGTCGTCCCGGTAACCGCCTACTTCCACTGAATTTCTTTTGTAACTCGTCTGACTCGTGACTCGTGTCTCTGAAATTTTAAGAGGCCGTTTAAACCGCGACGTCCTTTGAATTTCCGGCCGCTCCGTGCCTTTCACGTTACTTGACAGAATCAAAGAGGAACATTGAACAAAACCGTCAAGTTCCTTCACGTGTTAAGTTAAAAAATTATTCGCGAACAATGAAATATCAGAGTCGTCTCTCATAACATGGAGATAGCAACTTCGTTGTTCCAGACCTTCTTTTTAAATAAGATCACATCGACCAAAATCTGTTCGCCTACCCGTGAAAGATCCACTATAAAAGTAATTACTTACAAGTCTCGGCAAGAGATTAATATTTCATGGAGTTCGTAATCCCTATTTAATTTTTTTGTATGACTCAACACCGACGTAAATACCTATACGAACGAACTATGCGAATCACACACGATGTCCAGTTCGAATAAAACTCTTTGTTCTAATCAGATTTTAGAATTTTTCCAAATATTTAAGTCAGCGTTGCACGTATGTTTTTAATTACGAGCATCGGGGCTAATGATGAAGGACTAAAGGACTCGTAACTGCGTTCGATTCTAAATTAGCAAAAACAACAGAACAGAAAGGTCAACGAGAACGCGATAGTTGTGGTTATATCTTGACACTTTGGTTACATGAATACTTATGTTCGTACGTGAAAGTTTGGCCCGAGTAATGTTGATACGAATGAAACGAGTGAGAAAAAATGTACTCACCATGCACCAGCGTACTGCTACCACCTCGCAATTTCAATACTTGTCAGAAACATGACCGGTGCCCAAACAAAGAATTCACGTGGAACGAACGCATACACACACCGACAATCTGTCAAACGAAGACGTTGGAAACTCACGAGATAGCAGGAAATACCTCACTACGTTAGTAAAGCATTTACCCAAAAGCTCGCGTCACTGCGTGCACGAGATTCCAAACAAGAGACAGGCACTGTTCACGAATCCACTGGCTCCGTTTTGCTAGTCAAACAACGAAAATCTCCGATCTGGGTTCGACGTCCTTCTGGCATTAACGTATTAACTGGCCAACAGAGAATACCTGTTGACTCATTTTAAAAAAACAACATGGCCGATTCGAAGATGGCTACGTTGCATGTTGTTTTGTTTTCATTGCACGGTATTTAACGTTGATTCATGAAAATGAAAATCGCGGGAGAAGTACTTATAAAATCTCCGTGCCTCGTTCTTTGTTGAGAGACGAAATCACGGTGCAAGAACTATATCGTGAGAACAGTGAGATTATACCAACGTAACCTTGCTTAGTGATACCCGTATGTCGAATCTGAAGTCAGATTTCGTGATACAATCCCGTATAAACATTATTTCTATCATCGCACTGTAAACTATTATTTAAAATTGTTGGAAACTCGAACAAACAATATAAATGCTCCTAAAAAACAGTGACAGCTACGCGCGAAACTGCAGACTTGCGCACTGACTCAACTGATTTGAGTAAAACCAGCGACCAGCGTTCGTTTTCTATATAAACTTAATAGCATTAGAAATGGCAGCGCCAGAGGCGATACAAGTCAGCTCGCTTCCTTTACCTCCCGTTCAGTACATTAATTTGTACACGGATGAAAATGTTCGCCGCGGCAGAGCACCGCGGCCACCGCCACCGATACACGACACTTACTCGATGTTCGGGAATGTGTTTAACGCAGATGATACGATTATCAGACCCCTCGAAGCTCAAGGAATCAAAAGGTTGTACCCTCAGCATTTCGATCGACGCAGAGAGTTAAAGAAATTGAATCATTCCCTCCTCGTCAACTTTCTCGACTTGATAGACTTGTTGGTACAATGTCCAGACAGTCCAAGACGAGCAGAGAAGGTACGTACTTGATACTGTCTTCGAATGCGTAAAATCATAAGCTTTAGCTCATTTTCTGGTAATTGTTTAAAGGTGGAAGACCTCAGCTTGTTATTCATTCACATTCATCATTTACTGAATGAATTCAGACCGCATCAGGCCAGGGAAACGCTGAGAGTAATGATGGAACTGCAACGGAGACAACGTATTGAAACAGCGCTTAGATTCCAGAAACATTTAGACAAAGTAAGATCTGTGTATTTGGGAGCTTTTTAATGTCCCATCATTTAATTACTAAATTTGTCATAAACTCATTACAGGTTCAAGAAATTCTGCAACATGCGCTGCAGATGTTGCCAGATACTTCAGATTTAGATTCTAAGTTAGCTATTAACACAGATGCCATGGAGTCTATTGACAATATGGGTTCTGAGCAGCAAACTCCAGATCCGTGTAGCTTAAGCGACCACATTATGTGTGAAACGATAGATGATATGATGTCGACGAATGGACTGTTTTAAATGGCTGCAAAAACGATTGTAATTATTATTGTAACATACGTTGTAATAATTCTAAGAGTATAACGTATTTGTGAAGAAACATATATTTTTCTTATGGACATTTTGGATGTACTAAGAACACGATATAATTTTTGAATACGCTTTATTTCTCTAGTAATGCTATGATAAAATCACCAAAGTAATTTTTACACGTTTAATATTACAAGTAAGCAAACAACAGTTTCAATGTTACATCGTAGCAAACAAACAGTATTTTTGACGTACATGTACGAAGTACGTAATTACATGTTGGACGAGTTACAGAATGCTAGCAATTATAGAAATACATAAAAATATCCAGGAGCAATAAATTTCTTACAAACTTTAAATAGAAACATTCAATAGCTGGGCATAAAAAATACAACATATATTATGCAGTAGTAATATTTATTTAAATTAAATGATGATATAGTCAATAATTATTACTATTACAAAAGTTTTGTTCAAATGGTGGACAGGAGAAGGACGCAGTATGATTTTTGAAACTCACCTTACAACTCGGCTACCATCAATATATAAATAAAAGACAATATACAACCGTGCATCAGCTCCTGAAAACAAAGTTAAATGAGAATTTCTCGTCGTCGGTCCTCTGCTCGGGAGTTTCTTTCCTGGAACTGTAAATCTGTAATAAAGAACTGATTATTTTCGCTCTGCTCTGTCGCTCGTCAGACACCAGTTACCAAGCAGCATCTGTAAAATAAAATGTATATAATAATACATAATTTCATTTTCGTATAATCAAAGAAACTTTTGCAGTTACGAAATTGTGTTTTCCAATTTTTATATTATATTGCGCTTACGCTTACGAGATAGGCACAAACAGTTTTACAGAATAATGTTGATAATTATCCTAGCTAAAAACACGTTATAAATATTTATCACGAATTTGAGGAAATTAAAAGTTAAAAACTACAAACACATAAACAGTTCATCATTTAAAGAATGGAAAACAAAAACTGCTTTTAAGTTTCTTTGATCTTGTCTCCGAAATTCAATGTTGCAGCCGATTGCGTTGTACTGGCCCCTCGATCTCGCTTCCTGCTGGCAGAAAAATGTGGGATCAAAGGAGAGGAAAGGAAGAAGAATCTAGGAGGTAAGGGAATACATTTTGATACTATTTTAACATCCAAAATCGTTGTGGAAGAGAAAAATCGTCTGTCTTTTGGAAATACACCAATGTCCGTATCGTAGCACAAACTGGTCATTGTACAATTTGAATCTTTAAACATTTCTTCAGTGAAGAGGTATTCTTTGTTGCAACGTGCTCCTCCCATTTTGACCAATTCACGTACTGTGTTCTCACATCACTTTTTCTCGGTTCATGTCGAGTTGTCTTAGAAATACTGGACCAATGATATCTCAATGCCATGCTTCCTCAAATCCGTATTTTCCTTCCCATTTTTTCATAGTTCTTTCCGCAAGCTTGATCACTTCCACAGATCCAGACTTGGTTTCAAATTCGTCCATTTTCATTAGCAGTATATGTCGAAAAAAGTTCTTTCGTCAAAATAATGTGTATTATTCTACACAAACATTCTTTCCTTGTTCAGATGTCGATATTTCTTTGATGACTCGTTCTACCGCTGTGTTTACTGAACGAACGACTTACAATTTATTCTTTTATAGAATTTGCATGAGTAGTTAAAGCTGTCACGAAAACACAGTTCTTTTTACACTACGATTTATAAAAAAAAAATCTATCCGTTCTTTCATCTCTGCTGAACATCACTCTCTGTAAATTATCACCTTTACAGACATCATCTGTATATGTACAAATTACAGGCCTGGATTGTTTTTTATATTATTGCGGAGTCGACATTTCATCGTTTTTAAAGATTTAAGCGATTCGAGAGTTAATAAAAATTCTTTCTCCATGTTCCGCGACCTCTCGGTCTGTAACCACCACGACCGCCCGATCTATTTCCTCGAAATCTACCGCGACCTGTAATAGGATGTGTATAGGTAAATTTAACATCATCGTTCGACGAAATTGTAAATACGTGAATCCATTTCTTACCGTAATTAGATGATATATTCGAACTGTATTTTCCGCTGGGTGGAGTGTATAGTTCCCTTTTGCTCTTATCCTCTTTACTTCGTTTATTCGAATTACTATCATTTCCAAACGTAATTGGCGTGTGTCTCTTCTGTGCTGTCGAATGTTTCTCACTCTGAAACGATACACAAAAGTTCAATAAACATTTCGATGAAATATAATTTAATTTGTAAGTGCCTAATTTACGTACCTTCTTATCATTGACCATCGTCTTCCACGAAAGATGTATAACACTTTTAAAACTAGGAGGCGAATGAAACAGATCCTTGATCAAAGTATTGATATTGTTCGTAGTCTTCAAAGCAACAACTTTCAACTGGTTCTCTTCCGACTTCAACTCTTCTTCCGTCTTCCCGCTAATTGCTTCCCGTAACTTTTTTATGTAACCTTGAATACCGCGAGCGAAATATTGCAATCTCAATCTGAACTCTTTAAGCTGTTCCGGATCCTTCATCAGAAATTCTGGCGTTTGTTTGCACAGTTTATGAAATGCGTACATAAGACACTCGACATGGCTAAACTGAAGTTTCGGGACCTCAGTTATTTCCGTGGCTGGAGGTAGAGGCATGTACGTCTGAAAATACAAAAATGCTATTAATACCACCTCTACAAACCATGCACGTATACTTTCCACCTTGAGAAATACTTACGGTCAGTGTATTATAAAGTTCTTGTACTTTCTCTTCCGGTTTGTCAATCGTTCCGCAGAATACAGCTAGTTCGGCAAGAAGTTTCAGTAGTTCCAATTGTACATCCCTTCCATCGGGCGAAGTAATTAGAGAGAGGTGAGGTAAAACTTGCATACAGATATACGAAACGAATCGTGACGAGTCTATTTGAGACTGCAACGATTAAAATGTTCATTATTACATTCCACGGATAGGTACTGATTCAAAAATTTAATCGACTACTCACACTAAAGAAAGGAAGTGCATGTTTAATACATTGTACAAGCCTGTTCCATTGCTCGACGTTGGTAGGTTTAAACGGCTCAGATAATTCAGCTTGCTCAACTGTGATATCTACTAATTCCTGTTGTCCACTAACTGTCGAACCTAGTCTGGTCCATGCAAGAATTTCCATAATACTGTGGAATTCGTCGGCAGTAACATCCTACAGAAATTTTAATTGAACATATAATTACACAAGAATCCTATAATACTTTGTGTATTCATGAATTATCATAGTACCTGCAATACTTTCTTGCACTCTAAAATTAATAGATCTTCCGGTTCTCTAGTAATTACATCATGACCTATTGCTTTCAACTTGGTTGCTAGAAATTTAATGCAACGTTCGCGTGTTCCATCGTCACCATTAATGATTTGACTGAAAAACCCACTTATTGTGCCTGTGCAGATAAAAATACAATTAAACGTCATTTATACTTTAGTTCATTATTAATGTATCCATATAGGTATATACCTCGTGGATCAGTTTTCATGAGAGACATAACACTATTATGAACTACAGCTAACTCGGATGAATCTTGAGCTTGAAGTAATTGAGCTAAAATATCTGCAATTCTTGGGGTATGCTCTTTGTTATCTTTGCATAAAGATGGCAAGTCCTTGATCGCTTGTTTCCTTATCTGGAGACAAATCATCAAATTATATTCTTATACATGTCATATTTACGAAGCAGTGCAAGGATCAAAACTTACAGCCATATCTTCATCTTCGCAGAGATCTAAATGAGCATCTATAGCTTGGTCAGCCAATTTTGGAAAATATTTAAAAAACCTTGCAATAAATTGTGACGCCAATCGCTTTTCTTTTGGTGACCCTTTCACCGCTGTCAGAATTTCCAAGTACTCCTTCTCATGCTGCGAACAAAAACTCATGAGTCTACGATGGTTGCCACTTTCATCGACGCGACCATCAAATCACTTCTATGATATTACGATCCGGTAAATTCTAGGTTCCCAGAATTTTCGGTACTATTCGAATATGAGGAACGAATTAAGCAATTTTTTAGAATATATACGAGAAACGGGAAGAGAGAAAATCACTTAAATATGGTTTACTTGGTATAACCAAGGTTGTACGTTACCTCGGCTAGCTTGTCTTTAGCATCGGCTAGAATGCCAAAATTCTTGTACAACTTTTCGATACTGTCCATACTCATGATAACGTTATTATCAAATTCCCACATCTAAAGACACAAAACTTCAACACATAAATAGGATTATATACTCAAAACTCGATAATCTAACCGGCCATGCACCAGCACCACGCCACAAACGACAAAGATGGCAGCGATTACCGATTCCATCTTACAGACATAGGAATAACGGCACTTGAAGCCTTTGTGCGCAGAGGGTTGGTTCGCGCAAACGTAGTGTTCGTATATTTGTATATCCACAGAAAAATATAAATAAACGATGAACATTAGCAAAATAATTATTTTCCCTCGACGATCCTATATTAATTTAAACAAATTTCATCTACCTCTCTGCGCGTACTAAATATTGTTGAAGGAGCATAATACGAACATTTAAAAACTAAAATAATCAATNNNGCCTTGAACAGATCAGCGACCAGGCCAAAGTCGGCTACTTGGAAAATTGGAGCCTCTTGATCAGTATTTATTGCAACAATCGTTTTCGAGTCTTTCATACCAGCAAGATGTTGAATCGCGCCAGAAATACCGACGGCGATATATAGATCCTGGTAAAGGGAAACGTTTAGTATATAAGTTTCTAAGTAAAATATAATATAAAATTAAACTTACTGGTGCGACGATCTTCCCAGTCTGTCCCACTTGTAAGTCGTTCGACACAAAGCCAGCATCCACTGCAGCACGAGATGCACCGACCGCAGCGTTAAGTTTATCCGCTAGTTTGTACAATAATTCGAAATTTTCTCCAGACTTCAATCCTCTACCACCAGAAACAACGATCTTCGCAGACGCTAACTCTGGTCTATCGGATTTAGACAATTCCTGTTTGACGAACTCTACCAATTGTGACTTGTAATCACCAGCCGGTGCTGGCTCGCATTTAGCACTGCCTCCTTCCAGAGGTACTGGCTCGAACGCAGTACCTCTGATCGAAACTACTTTTACGTTATCTTTGCACTTTAAAGTTTGAACCGCATTCCCTGCATAGATCGTGCGAACGAACGTGTCCGGTGCTTTGATACTAATAACATCGCTGACTGGAGACACATCTAATTTAGCTGCTACCTTAAAACAATAGAAAGCAACTCTGTACTCGCCTGTGTCCGAGGACAAGAAGTATCAATGCATTTTGATACTGATACTCACTCTGGGTAACAATGCTTTACCAAAAGCAGTTGCACCAGCTATGATGTGAGTAAATTTATGCTCATTCTGTGCCGCAAGGATAAGAGGAGTCAATGCCTCTGGAAGCATTCCTTTAAAAGCCTCGTTATCTGTTACCAAGACTTTGGATATTCCACTGGCTTTGCTAACACTTTGAGCAACTGCATCGCATTTAGTGCCAGCAACCAAAACTGTCACATCGCCACCAATTTTCTTTGCTGCGCTCAATGCATTGCACGTAATAGGCAATAGCGATTCATTGTTATGTTCTGCAATGACTAATGTAGATTCATGACGTGCTAATAAGCTGTACTAAAAAAAGAGATTGTATCAAATGTACGTTTTGAAAAGGAGAAGGTTTATAGTCGTATTCCAAATATTTCATTTGTTTTTATTAGCACTAAATAGGAAAATGAATGAACAATTTCATTTTCCTAGAAAATCGTTGCATGTATTGATTTTTATGAGCTACTATTAATGATAAATTTTATCAGGGAAGAAAATGACGTATGGAACTCTGTCAATACGGTTAACGATTAAAGTATTTTTTTTTATATTTTGGTGATTTCCATGTATTTGGATGAGTTGCTCGTGGCGCCACGAGCAACTCCAAAATCATTTGAGGTATGTGTATGGAATCCTGTTACGAAACATACGCGCAGAGTGAAGAACATCCATTTTGATCTGTTTCGTCGACAACGGCGCAAGCAAAATGGTAAGTTTTAGGTTATGTTGGAGGATCTAATGATATCAGTGAAATCGCTATAATTGTAATTGAATAAATGTTAAGAAACTAAATTTGAAGTACGTGTAAATTCTATTATCTGTTTCAGTCGGCTCATAAAACATTTATTATCAAGCGAAAGCTTGCTAAAAAGCTGAAGCAAAACAGGCCGATTCCCCAGTGGGTAAGAATGCGTACAGGCAACACGATCAGGTAAGCTTTATTAAAAAATTAATTGTTGTTAACAACTTGTTCTCTAGAATTTCATTCAATTCATTACAATTATTATAATTGTATCATTTTACAGGTACAATGCGAAGAGGCGTCACTGGAGGAGAACTAAGTTGAAGCTGTAAACATGTTATTACATGTGTTTACCTAGCTTCTATGACGATGTATTAAATGTTCATTCTTAAATAAATTCTCACTTTGACAGTCAGATAAATCTGTGTTTAAGATCGATCCTTAATATCCAATGAAAATAATATCAGAAGAGTGAATGATGTACTATTATTTATTTGCAAATGTATTATTATATACATGAATTACAGTGAATTAATTATTTTACGATTATGCATTTGATCCATCCATTCTTTTAATAGTTCCTCACCACTCTGAGGTGCTGGCTGGTAATAATGTTTCGGTGGTTTTCCTTCTTCCAAACGAACATAGTAATTACAATACCTGTAATGTACTATTCCTGGCCTTCCTCTGGAATGTCTTCTTATGCCTTTTATTATTGCACCCTTTGTCGCGAAAGATTCGGCTGGAAAATAGGATAGGGACGTTTCTAGTGCTTTTAAACAATCCTGTAACTCCGATACTCACCGACCCATAAATTACTCTTAAATTCAATGTTATGCTCTTCAACTGCCATACGTTGTGCCTCTAAAAGAACCTCTTTCGCTATAGCTGCACCTTTCTGCTTCAGAAAGCTTAATTGTTTAACAGCTTCATCTATGGTCATTCCCCTTACAAAGCAAGCTATGTACCACATCTTTAAAGGGCTATATTTTACATTCTTTTTCACATGACAAACGTACTACAAAAAAATGTAGGACAACAATTAATGACGTGATCAACGATGTATTCGTGATTACAAGATAATAAACTTACACCTGGTCTCTTTTCTTCACCCGGTTTTTGCGGAGGGAAGACACTGTCATTATATTTAAGAAATCCTTTATCCTTTTTTCCTCCATCTCTGTATCCATAATACGATCTTTGTATACTTGATAAACAACTTGTATTAGGATTGAATATTTTGGACGTTGAAATTAGTCGTTGACAACATTGCCTCACGGTCTGCATTTTCTACGAGAATTGCATGAAACAACGTAGCGAACAAATACGTAAGAGTTATCAAATGCTATTTAACTATTTGCTTTTATTCGATGATTCTCTGATACACAAACGTAAACATTCTCTTTGGAATTTGTACATATACATACATCGATTTTAAAGAGATACCACTTTCATACACTATCAGCGCATTTAAAATTGTAGTTTATTTTCTTGTTGAGAATTGTCGTTCAGATAAATGAATCGTAGCTTTGCCTCGGTGCAATATACTTCGATAATCATGCAAAACGTAATTTTTTACTCAACCTATATTTTCATATATATATAATGTATAGTAATATATTGAGTTTTAACTGCATGCGCCACGAGGAGGGCCTGTCGTACGCGTCACAATTACACGTAGTCGCATAAAGTCTACTTGGTAGAGTGTTCATGACACAACTTATTAAATTGCACGATGGCGGAGAATTAGTGTGCGATTGAATTTATTTACCATTCTGCTCCGTCATTGCGTTAAGATAATCCTCGATTCGGTATTATAAGAAACAAATCATGGATAGTAATAAAGATGAAGCGGAACGGTGTATGGAGCTGGCGGAGCGATATCTGCGGGAAAAGAAGTATGACGAGGCCGAAAAATTTGTACGTAAAGCACAGAAACTTTATCCAACGAAAAAGGCAGACGGTAAGTTGACAAAAATTCAGATCAGTCGAATCTAGATTACTCGTGATTAATTCCTATTTATCCTACGCTTTGCATGCATCTCATACTTAATTTGTTGCATCGACGATTTTGAATCGAATCACTGTCATCGCACGTACGATTTTTTTTAGGCCATGTCACAAACCGATGCTATTAATCTTTTTTCAGAAATTATTTTAACATTAATCATTGAACTTTTTACGAAGCACGGTTTCTATAAGCGTTTATCATTATCGTTTTGCATATCTCATCAAGGTTTCATTGAGAGAAAGTATAGCATGAGTAAGCAGGAAATTGATGAGTGGGAAATGAAATTGTATCGCTGTAGAGAACAGAGAATATCTTGTAACTTGTGTATTCGCAGATGTATTAGCGAAAGTAACAATGATGTCGAAACAAAGTCCAAAATCTGAATCTGAACCTACAGTTAGAAAACGTCAAACTGCTACGGCTAAAGAAGCTACGTTCACTCAAACCACTGTTACCGAATACACTAAGGAGCAGCTTGAGTACGTTAAAAGGTATATGTGTTCGAAAAAAGTTATTAACGTCGAAGAGCAGAGTTATATTTCATTTTCCATCATGTTTACGAACGACATAATTGTCTGTCATTAACACGGATATAATTTATTGAAATGTAGAATTAAGAAATGCAAGGATTTCTATGAAATTTTGGGGGTAAGCAAAGACGCGACTGACAGCGATGTTAAAAAGGCATATAAAAAACTAGCACTTCAATTACATCCGGATAAGAATAAAGCTCCGGGTGCTGCTGAAGCTTTTAAAGGTGAGCGTTAATTAAAGTTATAAGTTCTTCTGTAAGTTTCTAATGTACTCGCTGTTGTACGTAGCTATAGGAAATGCTTTCGCCATTCTCACTGACGTGGAGAAAAGGAAGCAGTACGATATGTATGGTCCTGAGGAGGAAAGACTCCAGAGTGCTCAAGCTCATCAGAATCATACGCATTACAATTATACAAGAGGATTTGAAAGTACTATCGATGTTCCATGCATATTTTCGTTCCCATTGAAAGTGCATGTGCATTATAAGTGAATTCTTTTGCAGCTGATATCACTGCGGAAGAATTGTTTAGCATGTTCTTTGGAGGTGGATTCCAGCAACAAGAATTTTATATGAGACGGTCTGGAAGGTGGGCAAGGCAACAAGATGCACAAGCTCAGCATACTCATTCTCAGGTACAAATTTATTATTTTATTATATCTTCCTTGTTCAAGTACATTTTGTAAATCTGAATAAAAACTGTGATTTTCAGCAAGCAAACGGATATATGACATTCCTTCAAATGTTGCCCGTGCTGTTATTAATATTGCTAACTATGATGAGCAGTTTCTTTATATCAGATCCTGTATATAGCTTGCATTCTAACGCGTAAGTGTATTTATAATTTATGAATAATGACGAATAAATTAGTCTTAACGAACGATTTTGTGGGATGTTTCAATTCTATCGCTCACGCTTTACTGTTCGTTGCCTCTTATCTCCGGGATATTTCGAGACGATTATATACATGCACATTTTAAATTTGTGCGCAGAAAATATTCTGTACAGAGAACGACTCAAGGATTAAAGGTGCCATACTATGTCAAAGAAAACTTTCATACCGAGTATCAAGGCAGCTTACGTAGGCTAGAAATTTCTGTCGAAGAAGAGTACCTGAATAATTTGAGACACGCCTGTTTTAGAGAGAAAAGTTATAGTAAGTATCCGAATCAATTGGTTTTTGAAAAGTACATTCTGAATGCACACAGAAGTCTTGGTCTTATAGTCACTAGAGAGAATTGAATTTGTAGTCGAGAACTATGCGTTTAATCATATTTCGGATACATCCATTTTTTAATCTTTAGGGGAAACAATGATGTGGAAAGCAAGAAACTTTGGAGATCAAGAATTGTTCTTGAAAGCTAAAAATATCGAGACACCTTCCTGTAAGAGGGTGCAAGAATTACAAGCAGCATAGCGGCGTTATGTAATTGAATAGAGTTTTGTTGTAGATAGATGTATATTGTGTTTACATGTGTGTAGTTACTATTGAACGAAGATGAAGAATATCTGTAATGGATAATGCACGAGCGAATGCATTACTGTATCCTCGCATCAAAATTCGTGAATGATATTCTTCCTGGCCCATCACGAATTATTACATAGACCGTTTAAGCTGTTTACTCCGTACTCGAATCGCAAATTAGTCCGAGATTGAATTGCAACAGCGTGTATGAGGCGTTACAATGTAAAATATGAATTTACGGTATTTACTTTCGTTGAACTAACATACTTCTCTCAAATTGATTAGACTGAAACGAAAGAATTACATGTTGATCGGTTCTAGGCTCTGTTAGAATAATTTATGTCTCGTTACACAGAGGAGAGGAACGTTCGGTTAACGGCAAAGATAAGTTTAAACAACGTTGATGGAATTTGGTTGATGAAAATACAAGTATAGAAATCTTGCCGCTTGTACCATTAATGTAATGATAGAACGTGAAATCGAAAATTATTTGGAATATCATGATTTTGATAACTACCATCGTTGCTACACGAAAGTCGCTTATATATCAGATTTAGGATCCTCATTAAATTATGGAGAGTATATACTAGAAGTATGTTATATATTAACTTAGAAGGAAATGAATGTAATTATTGCTCGCATTTCCTAAACGATGAAACAAGAAAATAATCATTTCGATGTTAAAATGAGGCCTAAGTTCTCTTTGTGGTGACAAAAATTTGTGCGGATGTTCCGTTTTAAAAAAAGGAAACCTGTTTCACAGTATTAAACTAATATCAAGGCTATTATAATGTAGGCAATGAGTAATATTAAAACCTATAAATATCGCACTGGTTACATTCCTTCCGTCATTGTGAGAAATGCACGTCGTAAAGAATAAACGAATCCATGTAGTTATGACGCGTATGTAACGATCTTTGAAACTTACAAATATCTTCACGTGTAAAATTGTTGTAATTCAAGCTGTACGATGCACTACGTACGAAACTATAGTCACTCGTGAGAAAATTGTGACAAGTGACCTTGATCAAGCCCTGTCATCGTCTTATAAAATTTTATATAGGAGCAGAAGCTGGGGAAAGTGGAATTTCTAACAAGCTGATCTGGCGTGTGTCTACTGTTATTTATAAATTTTAATATTATATACAGATAATGCCAGAGACATGTAGATGACTAATATATTCGTCTTGAGAGAACTTTTTTTGTGTGATGTTGCAGTTTTTCGATACTAACTGTTATTCCTTTGTGAACAATTAAGCAAAATAACTAACGACCGGAATTCTGGATTTCGACACGTTTACGCGAGCCATTTCACCGAACCGCACATATCAAGTCTGTTCACGATTCGATCAGCTGTTGTACGTTTAAAGACACTTATTTATCCGAATCATTACATTTATGTTATATATGTCAAGATATCTTAATTAGCTTCGAAATAAAGCAACTTTAAAAGATCATACAATCATTTTTCATTAGTAGTGCCCAACGGCTGTCCAATAAGAATCAAACGCATTAATTAATCCTGTTCCCGTTTTTCTTCGTTGATTATTTAAATCGGTGGGAAAATTTAAGCTGCGGTCACGCAAGCGCACCACCGGATTAAATCCTATGTCGTTTTCCAACCCTCTCCATGCACATGCGTCGTAATGTCGCTTGCTCTCTACATATTTCGACGTACCTGCATTAATCTAATTGTAAATAGTGTTATCAATCGCCGAGACGAGTCGCGCCGCTCTGGTTAATTAAGATTCCATCGGCGACTTTTAAAAAACTTTCTTGAATCCCAAGCCTGTCTTCCCCTTCCCACTCGGGGCCTAATGGTACCTCGATGTTCAAGAAAATAAGTACGTCGCTAGGACGCTACTAGTGACTCATAATGCATATGGATTCTAAAACTGAGCTAAGTCGTATTTACCTCACGATTACAAAAGAATAGAAAGTATGAATTCACGAAGTTTAACTACAATTAAACTCGTTTATTAGAATTTTTTATTTTATACAGTAGATTGATTCTTATTAGGCGTATGCCCCCATCCTTAGTAGCGATTAGTAATTGCTCAAACCGTTCATCCTGATTCAAATTATTCTCTTGGTCCTGTTCTTAATCAGTCATTGCTGTTTCAATACTTTTGAGAGAACAATCGTGCTCATGATCGTATTGCTTGTGTCCCCTTTGCGAAATCGATCGCACGGTATAAAATAATACGAGTCAACGTAGAACGAAGATCCAGATCAGACATGGACACCTACGTGGGAATACTGTATTAGCGTGTATATTTTCTAAGCCACTCATAGTGTCCGGTATTAAAACTCACGTTGATTGCCACTAAAAGTTTTAATAGAGTTATTCTTGTACATTCATAATTGTACAATTGTGCATTCTACATAATATGAACATATATTCAGCATAGTCACAACGTGCATTTCAACTTGGTAACACAAAGATTACATTCAAGGTTAAATATAAAAAAGCATCATAGGAATGGAAATTTCACTTTTTAAATGCTGTGAACTACAAGCTTCGAGTTCCTGAAATTCTGAGTATTAATTTAAATTTGGGAACTCAGTTGATTTTTTATGAGAATCAATGCTGGAATCCTTCGTCGGCTTATCCTCTTCGTACCACCAGCCAATCCTAAACGAATAAGTTAAACAGAAGTGTTATCGATTAATGAGACCTTGAGAGAAGAATGATATATTAATTACTCGTGACTGCTGAGCGAGGCTTGATCCTTTTTAAATCTCTCATCTTTCATTTCTTGTTCCGTATGTTCCTTGGATGTATCAACTTTATCGGCCACTGCGTAAGCGTTCTCCTCATCATTCTTATCGTTAGATTTCGGTGGTGTCATTTCATCTACAACAAACCAATCGTCCAACCATTTTTCATTATGCGATATCTAATGATACAAATGGTTTCCATATTTATTCGACTTATTTACCTTGGACTTCCGACATTCGCATATCTGATCTGCCCTGGACTCTATCCTTGGAAAAACAGAGCTTGAACGGTTCACGTTCTACATTGGTTTCTTTTTCCGTTGCCATCGTACAAACACCAGAATTCATAAGATAATACCACAGTTGTCTTATTAGAACAAGTTGGAATTCAGTGGGATTGCAAGTACAACACTGGGTGCAACTACTGCAACTGGCTGCGACGCACTGCGATTGCGACAGATTGCGATTGATTGCGACTGTGGGTGTCTCTAAGCGACGCAGTATGAACGCTGCAAATAGTGCGAACTACTGCGCATTACTGCGAACTGCAATTGATTATGGAGTGAACTTGTGGACAAGCGGGTGGATTTCCAAACAGCGATGTTTTGTCCCATGAAGTGCTGCCCTCATTGAGGTGCCGCGTAATTTTGAATTTACTTATTCGTCTTGAACGTGGATCGTAATGAAGTAATTATTAGAAGCGAACAAGTAAGTGAGGATTTGTACTCGTACGTGCTCTATCATTTAGTTAGCTTCTCGATTTTAATATGAATTCTGATTAGGATTCTAATGTGATTCTGGTTCAGATTTTATTTCTGAATCTGATGATGATTATGATTTCGATGTTGATGACGATTTCGATTTTGACTATGGGTTTCGCGAATACACCTGCCTTTTATAATGACGATGATTTTTCTGCTTCAGTTCGCGTCTACTCTCTTCATTGACTGTTTCAGTTCACTTTACGTGCAGCAGTAGTTTATTAAGAAATAGGAAAAGAAAGAAAGGAGGGAAAAATGAGAGGAGAAAGGCAAGAAGGCATCAACGAGGGCATCGTCACATCTATTTTTTTACGTTTTTCAATCCAGATCTATTTTCGCGCTCGAGATTTAATGGTACTTTTTAATTGAAAAAGATAAGTACGTCACTAGACTGCTACTAGTAACTTGTATTGCGCACGCCCCAAAAATCCCACGGAGTGCCCAACACTGGTTTCAACCCTCTCCTCATGATCAGTGCACCCCAAGCTGTCACTGCGGTCGGCAGGTTTCACTTCCACCCTCGGCACCGTCGAATGCACGCGCACGTCCGTGTATTTGTTTACAAGCTCGCGTGTTCCCGCGTTCGTATCGCTTGATTCGTCGTCGCGACAGATATAATGATTAAAGAAAGAGAAACGTTCAGTCTCCAATCCGAAACGTAATCTAGACGTTTTCAAAGCTTTCCGATCGAAATTGGAAAATTGTACAGCGCAATTATCATTTTCTGTCGTTAGATCGAGGCTCGTACACCAATGCGAAGATGTGTAAGGAACTTTGATTTGACCAAACAAGCTCGACAAGTGTCGTTGTGGCCGTGGCCGTGAAGGTTCTTACTACGGGGAAGGAACCAGTTACACAGGGTGAGTGATTTACACTTTACGAGATTGATGTTTACCCTCGATCCTTGAGGCGAACACGAGGGATCGAGCGGTGTATCTCTAATGTAATTGAATTAAACTTTAGTACCTACGAGATACGAACTTCTACGCAGAAGGGAAGTAAGAGCTTTTATTAACAAAGTACGTGTACATTTTCGATTGACATGTGAAATTATGAACGATCTTTCAGGTCTGTGAGTAATATAACTTTCGTTCTTCGTTTTGATACTGCGTATGAGAACAGCCACGGAATCTCTTAAAATGAAGATATGCTAGAAAATAAAATAATCGTTCTTCGTTCGCCTGTACAACCGCGTGATATTAGAACGAAGATATCGACACGTACTCGATCGACTCGATGGGAACAAAAGTCAGAAAACAAACGCAGGCGAGTTCTTTAAAAGCTGGCACGCTCGTTTGTTCTCGAATTATTATAAATACTAAATACTCGTGTGTCGCGTTAAGCGGTAATAATAGTGAGTAATGAACGCGGATGCGCGCGTAGATATAAGTCAGGTTTGCACACAATCGCAGTCGATCCTGTTAGATGGTCCGCGTTACGAAAAGACGCGCAGAAAGAGGCCACGAGTGTTAAACGTGAGATAGAAACCGGAGGGAAGGATGAAAAGTAGATGTACGCAGACTGGCGTGAAGTTAGAAGAGGCTAGCACGGTTTAGAATGGTCCGGTATAAAAAAAATTCTTTAACTCTGTCGGTGGTAGCGCAGCACGCGTGGAATGAATACGTATGCACGTAGGAACGGTCGCATCGGTGGTCGTGCAGGTGCGAGTGGTATCTGCGAATAGCTGAGCCAAGGGATGACGCGCAGGCGCCTCCACCTGTAGATATGGTGTATGCCAGGCTAAATGCTGGATTTATCCGTCGGAACAGAACTCACCGTCGGAATACACCGGATCAATAGGATTATTTTTTTCTTTGCATGGTAGAACGCATCTCTTTACCTAGCATTTTTTACCGTTCGTTACCGATGCGTGTCGGGGTCTCGGGTACAGCTCGTCGGGCACCGACTAACGACGGCGAGATCAATAAAATTACGTGTCTCATTGAAAGAGCTCACTCGCAGTTCGATTCGAGTATTACTTTCGACGCTCCTTCTTTAGCCGATTGCTCGTCGTAAGGAAGCGGGTATACTTGGTCCGTAGACACCGTACTTGTTCTCCTTTGAGGATCTCTCGTACGGTTCCGACGATCCACTCGACGGAAATAAGTTTCCTTCTGAGACGCTTCTTCACGATTCTCATTCTTCTTCATTCTCGAAAAATAGAAACACGGGCCGAGTCATCGTACACCCACGTACGTATGTACGAGCGGGAGAAAAGAAACGGTGCCTCGCGGAAACGGTTCATTTCCGGCGCTGGGTACAATTTATTCTCGCCGAGGAGGGACGCGGTTCGGGGGGGTAGATTTTCGGTAGGGAAGAACTACGGGCCGTGATTCGGAAAACAATCTGAGCCGCTCTCGACCGAAAAATATTTGCTTTGGAGCGAACCGTCCGCCGTTCCGTTTGCTAAAGCGAAAATTGCATTTGCCGCGAGATTAAATAAAGTCGCAGTTCCGTTCTCTTCTCGCGGTAGACTTCGATCGAAATGTTTGTCATCGTTTCGTTTCTTTAAAACAATACACTGGGTCGCGTTCGATCTCTCGAGATATAATTCTGATCAACAGATGGCAATCTCGTTAAAGTTCGAGCAACGAGATAATAATGACAGCAACGTCGAATCCTAATGAGTCGAACAATTTTACATGATCCGGGCTCGCCGCAATATTGGCCGTATTCCCTTCCCATTATCTCGCCGAAGGGTCGCGACCGTTTTCATTATTCTTATCATCGTTTCCTGTGCACCGCGCTGTGCCCCCGTTAATATCGCGACCACTGCGTATCATCGTGAATATTAGCATTTTTATGATTATTAACGTTGGCAAACATTATTAACGTCACCGGGCGCGATTCCCGACGACGCGAAGGGACGCGGGAACGCAAACGTTATGAATTGCATTACCTTTTGAAAACAGCGATGCATTATACACCGCGAGGGTGGCATGCAAAACGGTAATGCCATCTCCCGCGTCCATCTGTGCACGCGTAACGAAAATTTCGCCGTACGCCAGGACAGAATGGAGGCATAGGGAATCACGGACTGGAATGGAACCTGTGTCGACGTACAATGCTCGTCGCCGGGGTCAAAAGTTCAGAACTTTTGTCATGTAGCTACATATGTAAGCTGAACCAGGACTCGTATCGATCTCTCGAGCGAGTCGGAGCCAACAAAGTTCTCGGAGATTTAACGAGAGGCTCTTGGGCGATGAGCTGCTTTCCAAACAATACTACGCGCGCACCGTAGAACGGTAGAAGGTCCGAACGAGAGCGCTTATGCGCGACTCCGTGTGCCGCACCGTCGGGTTTCACACATCGCGACGCTGGCCTCTCTATAATAGCACTCTCCTTTTTTTTTCTTTTATGCGCCCCGGCCGTTCTTTGAGTCGCTGCCACTCGGCCACGCCATTATCACCGGCTTTTTGGTCGCCTTCGGAGCTCGATCCGTATAATACCCACGCTTTTACCTCTCTTCACGACCTCCGAAACGAGCCGGAAACGTCGCTACCGCGGTTTGTCGTACCCTTCTCTATTCTAGTTGCGCTTTAGCGAGTTCCATAATGCCTCCTTTGATCGCCTCCCTCTCGAAGCCCGCCCGCTTTTTCGCTCACTCTCGCTAGATTAAACGTCGAACTGTTGCTTCGAAAGACGTCTGCTCCGCCGTGATGACTCTTTCCCCTGTCTTTGATTCCGTGGCGACCCTCGTCCCATTTCCCCGACGCACCGCTGACGAGCGCCTCTCACTTTTTCATTTCCGTCCCGACTTATCACCGGGAGAACCGATGATTAATACTCTCACGTGTAAATACGCATCGATGAAAGAATCAGGTGCGGATACGATTCGATTGTGAAACGGCGCAACGTTCAACCGTATGCTTATAACTTTCTTGCCGGTTTAAAGTAAGCCCGACTAATGCATTTATGCATACCTGGGGCACGCGCTAACGCCTAATAGCCTCTCGTGATGTATCGCCCGCGCGGCGTTAAGCCGTGCAAAACTGTGACCATATTTATAGTCACCGTACGCCCCCGCCGCGGGATGGAATCATAATTCTTTTCTAATTAAAACATTAAACAGCGACGTGTTTCTTTCGGTCTTGAATTTTCATGGCTGTTGAACCTTAGTTAAACTGCGTTACGTACAATGCTCATTGTCCGCGGAGCGCGAGCCAGTGGGAATGGGCATAGAAAATGATTGATCGCTCTTTCGTTTCGTTGGAATTTTGCGTTGGAGATCGTGGAATTAATTCTTGTATTTTAACGAGCCATCGTTTCCGTGCGGTTCTTCGACAGTAGCTGATCGGTTAACTCTGTATGCGATCGAAGGCCATGGTGCATCGTTCTTTGTTTCTTCTGAGAGACATGGAATAAGGAACAGCCGTGCGCCGAGTATGAATGGAAACAGAGAAAATCTGATTTTTCGAGTCCTATCAGATCAGCGAATGACCCTTTCGCATGTTACGCGATTCAAATTTATTCCACCGCCTTGGGGCGACGGTAAAAGACATGTCAGAAGCGCGCACCGACCGAACGTGTCTTATCGATCCGTTCCCTTGTGATGGTCGTAACAAATTCATGGAGGAAAATACTCGGCGATACCGAGGGAACACCAGAAGTACTCTATGAGAACGTAGACACTGATTTTGTTCCTTCGTAGTTAATCGATATGCGGGCTAAAATTGTCGGGGGAAGCGTTACAGAACCTTTCAATGTTTCCGTCGGAAAGTGCAACTAGAATTTCAAGCGAAACGTTTGCCTGTAAATCGAATTTTACAGATTATTTAGTTTACCGATAATTACAATTTTGCTTGAATCATCGATTACGAGTATTAATGAATTTTATGCGCGGAGACATAAATTATTCGTTTGACGTAGGGTCCCTATTTGGATTCGTTGATTAACAATATTATTTTTAACACTAGAATTACCGGCGATTGACGTATATCAACTTCTATCAAAATGACTTGTGTTTCAACTCAATAAGTCAATTAAAAAAAGACATAGTAATTTTTACGTTTTTATTAATTTTATTATTTTATTAATTTAAATTCAACAATAAACTGATAATGATGATAATAATAATAATTTAACAACAATAGTTTTCAAAATAATTACGCTCTTAACATACGTGCCGCTGGGGTCAAAATAACTCACCTCGGTGTACGGAGGTATACTGCATAAAGTTGTACATCAAGAAGATAGAAAAGAAAGAAAACTATTTTACGGAATTAGTTATTCGTATATTTTAGAAAGAGTCATACAAAATTTTAGAAAACAAAATGTGCTGAAAAAGAATAATGATTCTAAGAAATAGCAAGCGAGTCACTTTCATCCCCCTTGATAGATCTTGATTGTGAATCGAATAGAAATCATTTACTTAATCGATGATTCTTTCTGAACTTCTCTTCTCGCTTCGATGTCAATCTTATTTATACACTTTTCTCGTCTCTTCGGAATACAGACTAGCGATCATCGATTACCAGATTTCATTTTTAGCGCGTTCATTTTCCGAGACGATTATACGCCGTGTCTAGAGAAAAAAGAACGGTCTTTACCGCGTTATTATCGCCCACTCATCATCCAGGATTATCTATCGAAGATAAAAATACTCGTAGGCCAATAGCCCTGTGTAGTGTGTATTGCACATACGGTGAAACAATGCCTAGCTATAAATACGAAGCCACGCTACGACTGCGTCAGCTTCGCTATCATACTCATGCATGTGTCGGATTTTTGCCCGACTTTACGACCCGCTTTTCTTATCCCTTTCGTTTCCCAGAGATGAACGAGGGTAGAATGCGATTTTGTACGTACATTCTTTTGTATGAGTCTTAAGAATGTATTGGCAATACAGTCAATCCCAAAAGTTCATGTACCTTAGAAAACCGCATTTCCTATAATTAAAAATAGTGCATTCTTCTTCTAATTTCGATATTTAATGAGTTACATAGGATTATTTGGCATTTTATTGATGTTGACAAAATCCGACCATTCCACCGTCGAAACGACGAACTTTTGGAAAAAAATTTCGTTTTTCCTCAATAACTCCTAAACTGCTGGTCCTACGAGAAAATTGCATAGAACCTTTCTCGTAGAGGACGACGAGATCTACAATTTCTGTATAAAAGTTTTCCGCTAGGATTAATAGTTTACGAGTTATTAACGAAAAACGAAAAAACAGTTTTTTGCAAATTACTCGTTAACTATTGATGCCAGCGATAACTTTTTATACAGAAATTGTAGGTCTCGTCGTCCTCTACAAAATGGTCCTATACAATTTTCCCGTATTTCCAAGGGTTTAGGAGTTATGGGCAAAAAACGAAAATTTCCCCTTGGAAAAATCTCGGAAAAATCGGAAAAAAAATTTTCGCGGAATTTCGACAAATGCTTCGAATAAAAATTGTAGGTGATACTATTACCTATGAAAAATTTGAAATCACTATAATTTTAACTTTTTAATAGTAATAGGAATGTATAATAACAAATTCAACATACCAGCATTGTTTAAGTATGTGTAGCCTATACATCCTTAAGACGTATCGTAAATCGTGTCATCGAGACCCACGTGAAAAGGGTATCAATAAATCAATTGAAATTCATCGTGAGAATCGTTTCTATTCTTCTGCTCGAAACACAATTATATTATAACCATTTCGCGATTTATTATACAATTAAAATGATGAGATTTACTATCAGATTTCTTTTTACAAATGATAAACACTTGGACGTGTCTCAAGACTTATGTACGTGCATCTGGAGCGTCGAAACGAATGTACATACGTAGGTAGCATAAACATAAACGACGTGGTATCCATAAAGCGTGTAATCTATGCGCGTATAATATCTACGTGTAATGCAAATCTGGGAAATATTAAACGGCTGGAAACGTGTTTTCTCGTCGGTGGGAGGGAACGCGTAATTACTGGCATCGTTAAAGCTTCAGTTGCCGTTGTTGCGACGATAATTAATTTCAGCCGTTTCGATGAATAATTCGCAGCGATATGCGTTTCGCGCCACGCGTGCCGGAACTCGACGAGTGAAAGTGACTTCCCTCGTCGTTACTCGAACACCGGGCCAATAAAATGGATCCGTACGAAATTCTGGTTATTGACTGCGAGTTTTAATCATTTAGCACCGTTTCGTCTTCACGAGCCGAAATTAAACAGCGACCGGGTTAAGAGTGTCCCCGCCGCGAACGAGAATGATTAAATCCGTGGTTAAATGGATAAACACGTTCCGTCCTACTTCGCGAGAATATTCTTCCGATCGTAAAGAGAATCTGGTGATCGACAGTGTGTTCGTACCCGTTCTCGAATTTTCATTTAACTCTTTCACCGGAGAAGCGATCTGACTTGTTACGAAAAAAAATTTGTCCTCTAAATGACGTTTTACTTCGCGTTCAAAGAACGAATGGGTGGGCCAACCGAAAACTACCGCGTTGCACGCGGATGCACGGACGGGTGCATGGGGTAAACACGGTTCATTACTGCAGCATTCATTACGTACCTTCTGAAACGACGACCCTTCACTGCTGCTTTCACAGTTAATGCAAGATGGAACAAGGCCGCTTTTGGACAACTCTTACGGCCTTCTTGAATAAATGAACAACGCGACGCGTAACAACCTCCCACCCTCTGTCCTATACGCTCGAAAATGTTAAGGCCCGAATTTATAGTCGTTTCTTAGTTCTCAATCTTAATTCTCAACTATCTATTGCATATCTGTGTGTGTTTCCGGTTTCGTGATATATGATTCATGGAAATCGAAGATATATTTTTAAACGTTTCATTTCATTATTGATTAAGCTTATTTAAAATTTCATTGAAACGTCTACGGTTATTCTGATAGACTTACTCACTTTAATAAAATTGTAACAAGCAGTTGAGAACTGAGAATTGAGAAACGACTACAATTCTTGATCACTTTGAATCGACGATGAGACGAGCGTCTCTCCGGTTCGTCTCACCACCTCGCAATAAAAAGAAAAATAATACAGGGGAGGAAATAATAGTTCGACGGTTAGTCGAGCATCGGGGAAGCTTGATCGCATAGAACGTGTGCATCTACGAATAAATGGTTTTCGCGTTTTACCGGTGTGCCATTATTTGGGCTCGGAGACGCTGAGCCGTGTTTAAAGTTTGTTGTCAGCTTAGCGTCGGCGGTTGTGTATGCTACAACGGGAAATTCGTGAAGTTGCCCGGGTAAAGTAAGCGTTATTTCGTTTCATTTGTAAATGCTCTTTGCGTTGAACTTCTGCCGAGGCCGTTTCTGTTCGTTTCCGTTTCACGGCATTGTGCCGCAGTCACGGTAGGTTTTTTAGCAAATATTTTCGCCAATTACACGCGAATCCACAGTGGGTATACGTAATGCTAACAAACTAAGGGTCTACCGTCTGTATTCCGCTTTTGTTTCGTACGACTCCCTCGACGTTCATAATGACATCGGACTTGGTCGATCGTGCGCTTTTCCGCGGGCATTGTCGTCCGCGTTCACAGTTTTTTTCACCGTTCAAATTTCATACCTCGGACAGAGAGATGGGTGGGTGACTTTAATTCGGGGGAAGCGTAGACGCGCTGGGAACACGTAGAGTAAACTGTTTGGTCGCGCGTGCACATTGACTCTGTATTATATGCGTACCGGCGTACGTGTTCACGCGTTCCCTGAGCCGGCGCGATACGTGCAGCGAGGACGTATTAAATAAACGTTGGACGATAACGAAAATACCGAGATTCCCTGTGAAATGCGTAAAAATTCACGATACATTTATTACGTCGAGCGAGCAATTTACGACGTCGTTCCACGATCGGCTAAACAATTTCCCGTGAATCGTCGGTGTTTCTCGTCGAATTTGTTTCGTCTTGGATCTCCCCACAGACTGTCAGTCCCGTCGCCTCTGTTCCGAGTGACTCGGTCGACCAGCTCTTTTCTGGGTGTTTTTAAGTCGTACGCCAGCCCTAAACGCGCCATCAGTTCTATGAAACCGGTGGTGGGATTCAGGCCGTACGCGCCGAGCTCCGCAGCCTTGTAATCCCACGGGAAAGAATGATGGTAATTATGCCAACCTTCGCCGAGCGCGAAGAAAGACACGGTCGGGTTCTCCGTCGGTCTGACCCTCCTGGAATAGGAAACGGGGTTAAATCGCCGGTTGAAAAACGACGCGTTGTCAAAGTTTTAATTAACTCCGGGTCTCCTCGTCGGGGTGGTCGAATCGCGGACCGAAACTCGCCTGTCGTACGGTCGATTTCCCCACATGTGGGCGAAGCTGTTCACGGCGAAAGTGGCGTGCAACAGCCACACGTATCGGATGAGCACAGCGTGAACGCTTATGAACCACGTCTCGCCCCACGCGTACACCGGCACCAATATCGGCAGCACGAAGCACAACGGGACCATGATCAACTCGTAATACCTGCAAACGAGACATCGAAATGCGCACACGGCCTCCGGTTCTCCGGAGGACAGATTCACGTTCGAAAACATCGACACACGTGGGGGATTCGAGTCATTCATAGATTTAATAGAGACGGCTTACTTGTCGAAGAATCTTATTACGGGATCCGCGGAGACGTCGCTCATATCGATTTTACTACCGTACTGCTTCACGGCAGGATGTCGTTTGACCATTAGCCAGCCGATGTGGGAAAAGAAAAATCCGCGGGTCGCGTCGTGCGGGTCGGCGCTCGTTTCCGTGTATCTGTGATGCGTCCTGTGATCTCTGATCCAGTTATAGAACCGGGTCTAATCAAATTAAACAAATGCACCGGCGAGACGTTGCGCATATCGTAACTTGGAAGAATGATCATAGACGTTCGTAAATTAACTCACTTGGCCAGCCGTACAATACAAGTAGGCTAAGAAGATTCGCAGAGGAGTTTTGGCCGAGTAGCTTTTGTGTGCCCATAGTCGATGAGCTCCTGCTGTTATCCCATAGCCAGCCGCGACTCCGTATACAACATCTTGACAGAGACATAATACAAAAGACATTAAAGGAGTATTAGAATTTATGGAACAGTGTACCGTCTACCGGTTAGAATTAGAGGATTAATAATGGATTCAACCGTGTGCCTGAGCACTGAAAATAAGATCGTATTAGATACAGTGGCTGTGGCCCGATCGATCCGAAACGCTGACGTTCTGTACGGATAGAAATAGAGCGAAGGCGGAGGGAACTCGACGAGAGAAAACGAATTTCCTGAACGTAGTTGAAACGAGGCTCGGTATGTATGTACTTACTCCAAATCCACGTGCACAGCTTGGCGTCTCGATAACCGTTCACGAAACCGTAAATGGCGAGGAAATGAAGCACAATGATACCAATCACATTTCGCCATATTATCGGTTGCCTGGCCGGAGTTTGTTCTTTTGGCAGGAGTAGCAGTTCCGCGTCGTTCCCTCGAGCCTGACTCGAGCTCGTTTCCTCGTGTTCGGTCACCGTCGAGCTATACATCCTCGATGCACTCGACTTCCACTGCTAATTCGAAAATCGACCCGTCAATTCTCGATTAAAGAACAACTGGGTACGTCGCGTACGTGTGAAATTTTCATTCGTTAAATAAATTACGCATTACCTCTGATCACCGTCACCGTCGATATTACATTAACTTTATCAATTAGTGATACATTACCATTATTGAACATTACTACGTTAACCGTTATGTCATTAATTAATTCGCATCGATGACCATTAAACCGGCGATACGACTGCTGATCGTCGACGTGTAAAACGTTGATCCTCTTGTCTATTTCGATGATCGATTTTAGTTATCGTGTAAATGTCAGGAATATGCCACTTCTACATAGGCAGCGAATCATTATCGTTACGTATTTCTCCGTGAACGTAAAATTCGCGATCCACCAATTTGTAATCGACTCGATGGGAGAAAATGATTTATCGTAAAAAATTGCCAGGTCGAGAATATGTCGTGCCGTGATATATTACGGGATTATAATTGCCGCAGAAATGTATCGAGGGTCGCGAAGTAAATTGGCAATGGAATTTTTAAGAGGGAATGAGTACCCTTAACAGTCTCCCCGTTTAATGTCCTCAATAAAGGAGATTAAGGGAAATAGAGTAAACTGCGGGGTAGCTTGCGAAAGCATTTTTCATTCGAGGCCACTGCCAAGGAGTCTGTTAAATAACGGGATCCTAATGTAGCGTGAACGCGATAGAATAAATAACTGCTTCATCTTCACCGTTAGTATTTTTCTACTGTAATAAAGACGGTCGTGTCGTCACATTCTTGCACCGTAATAGTCATGATATCTCGATGTCTTCCAAGATCTTTTGTGAGTCGGAGAATCGAAGTCGGTAACTGGGTAAATCAATCGAGAGTACGATCAGAAAACGTTGGGAGAAAAGAATCGCAATTGACTTCGTGCGCTGCTGAGGAAGACGACGGGAAGCGGCGGTTTCCCGAGAAACCGCGAAACCGCAGAGGCTCGAAAACGTCGTACTTATAAAAACCCGATTTCGTTTAGTCGCAGATCGCCGCGAGGGAATATGCGTACCGTCTTTCAAGACGACGAGCAAACTCGCGTCGGCAGATTTATCGTCCGAGCATCGGACGGTGGTCGGTCGTAAAAATCTCGCGTTTCGACGAACCTGCGCTGGCAATTTCTTTCGCGTTCGGATCGTAAAAATTTCGAACGCCGTCGAACGGGCGAGCGTCACGAGGTATGACGCACCCGACCACCGATGATGGACCGTGTTGAATCGCCGCTATCGTCGAACTGACACGGGGAACGTTCGTTTGTCGGAATTATCGCGGGTTTTCGCGTTGCTCGCCGATCCCGATCCAACGGAACTCGCCCTCCAGCGACGATGTCGTACGCGATAACATTCCTGATAAATGCTGCCCGCGCCGACGTACCAGACGAAATAACGAATGGACGTAACGAGGAGTTCGTGTTAAACAATAGAACAACGTCGCGCTCGAACGAAAAAAATCGATTCAGAACGAAGATTTATATAAAACAAACAGTGTTCGCTTTTATTTAACAACGAATAGATCGAATGGATTAGAAAATGATTCGTGACTCTTGGTAATTTCTGTTCTACGATAATGTGGAAATCCTTTGGATGCCCCGAGACCAGGAGTTGAGGTAAATCCGAACGTGCGGTGCAAATATTTCGCACAGAAATTATTCTGGGAGTGCATCTCGTCGAGTGCATATCCGGACCGTCGAAATCTCTTAACGACCGGATTCTTGCCTCGCCTCGAATCGCTTCGCCTCATGCTTTTCGTATCAATGATCGCGTACACGCGAGACCACGACGACTATTCGCGGACATTAAATCCAGCCACGATTGCCTTCCTTTCCCTGGTGCAGATAACGGGGCAAAAACGTTGCCGGTGACGCTTTGCAATTATCTTCATCTGTTAATGACGCTTTCGCAATTTGTGCGACCGCCCGCCCGTGATGCCAGTTACAGAGGAAATTTCTGCTTCGAAGATTCCTGCGAAACTCCCTGACCACCTGCCCATTAGAGAAGAGCAGAAAAATTCGAAGGAAAGTTTCGTTCTTTCCTTGTACCTTACCCGTGAACTTGCCCGATGCACATTAGAAATCGTAAACTGAACCGGAACAAAAAGAGTGAAATCCTGTCGACTGTCGAGATGATTGATGATGATAGATAATGACCCCTCTCATGTATGGAAAATTTCTCCCATTTTCTCACCATCCTTCAACTCGAGATAAATTGCGACTTTCGCGGCCTAACGTCCGTTCGGCAGTCGCAAAATGAATGCAATTAATTTGATCGAACCTCACGGAAAATGCACCTAATTGGTCACATCGAGCAAACGACTTTGGTCGAACGTTTCGGATGCTCGGGCAAGCGTATCAGGTTACAGGTCATTTAATCGAATAGCTCATTTAGTTTCGATGGTATACTGATTTAACGGGAAATTCTCAATTCTGTTATATAAACACGCGAGTCAATTATGGTAGGCTCCGGCGTTCTATCGAGTTCTGCTCTTTGAACAATGAAATAGCTCGATTATTAAAATCGGAAATTATTGCCGTGCTGAACCGTTGCTTGAAAAGTTCTACTGCTATTTCATTGTTTATGGCGAACAAAGTTGAATCTGTGGATAAGCATTGAAAACGTGCAAAAAAGTACAAGCAAATTTCTCGTGCCGGGAACGTTTCGTTTCGGTGGAATCATGTAAAATGTGGAAGAAGTTAGAAACAACTTTCCTCCGTCCATTAACGAAATCGATCGATTCCATTGGAAAGTTTCTTTTACCGCGATACTCGATGATAATTAATCGAGATTAAACTCGCGGGAAAACTTTGCCAGTCTGTTTCCCGCGAAATAACGTGGCTCACTTAGGACGAGGAGCCGTTCTAGTTGTAACGAAACAACGTGATATAAGCGCGAGTTTCTAAACGCCCCCGTTCGAGTTATAATCTTTCAAAGTTGCAGTATTACGGAAAATGTTGCCAGTGGCTTGTTCCAGAGAGGATACAAGCCTTAGGAACATCATCCCGTAGATTGCCAAACACGTACGAAAATTCCTCGAGCGCTTCGAATTGTTTGACAACATCCGCGATGTGTTCGAGCAGATGCGCCGAATTAATGCCAGAACCGATCCTCTTACGTTTTTCCCCGTCCACGAGTTCCATCACCAAAAATCTCTCAAGTCTCTGAACTTCCTCGTTAAGGTTGTACGAATCTTTAGATAAGAACAATGACAGAGAATTGAAATTTTAGTTATTAGAAATCATGCATTAAGCGTTCCTTGTGACTGAGAAAAACAGGTCGAACAATTTTATAAACCTCGCTCCTCTGTAATTATAATTTTTTCTAAAATTTCATCTCTTCAAATATTGGACACAGCTTCTTATTACATGTCTTAAATTTTTGGCGGTGATCTTACGGCTCGTAGAACTTTGACGTCGTAAGGAAAGAACGTTCCCCGATACCGTTAAAAGACATACTCTACACGGCTGTTATTTTAATTAGAAATTCCCTCGTTACAAAGCGAATTGTGTCCAAATCTTCGGAACGAAAATTGTGGTACGATCTAACCGCGCACGTACAGTATCCGGTATACATATTGCGCCAGTATCACGTACCGACTTTGATGAGCAAATTAGGATTCTAACTGGTTTGTCGGCGTGCAGAGTCGCTTATCTAACTACTCAGAGTACCTGATAACTATACCTGTACGTTTATACGTGTGCGTACGTATAAAACAGGCTCATCGGTTATGCCGTCGCTTTCAATTACCCGAGTTATGATACTTTTAAGTGCGATGAATTGTTTTCTATTCCCAAGTGTCCTGGAACACTTTGCTAATTCGAGTTCAGGACCGTTGACTCTTGTTTCCAACGGTTCCTACGTAGAAATAACATCGTTCCGTTCAGTAATATCGTGTACATTCCGTAAAACGACTCTCCTCCCGAGGAAAATGTTAACGTGAACATTGAGTTTATGAGTCGTCGCGATCGATGGTTTTGGGCACGCGTCAAGTCATTGCTGAACGATTCATCAGGCCTTTCGATGGGTAAACGCGTCGGAGTGACCTAATTTCCGTGCACTTCATGTTTATTCATTACCGGCTATCAATGATCGAACCGCCGTCTAATTATCCCTTTAACGTTGCACCGTTTATCAAATGTTAATATGTCGCTGTACACCAGCTTATCAAATACTACGGGCAAAACCACCGCGTTACCTGTCTCGAATTATCATGCTGTACATACGTACGTGTAATTCGCCAGATACGTCGTAATGGAGCATCATCTATCGATTATCGATAATTACCAAAGACGTTACCGCGTTTTCGACGCGCGTAACCCGCCGCAGCTTCCGACACACTGCCACACGATCACGCGACGGTGGTGAATAATTAAATAGGTTTCAAAGGATTTATAAACGTCGTTTCGTCCGTCGCGAGATATTCGAGCCGTCGGCTCAGAATTCTTGATACGAACGACGCGAATCGACGAACGGACGGTTTAAGTGATACGAGTCAGTAAATGGTCGGACGTAAGGGAGATCTAGAACTAGCCTCTACGTTTCCGTTGCAGATACCTGTTAAACGTTCGCCTGTTTTGGCACAACGGACCGTGCGAGCTTAAAAAACGTTGTGTTATTTAAAAATTGTGTTATTTAGGAAACGGCCCAGAACACGATTCGTCGTAATTAACTCGGAAAAAGCGGGAGAAAACGAGCTCTCGATGCTGGAATTTTTTTCTCTCGTTCGAGTCTTCCGAGCCTGTTTGCCACCTAAAACTCTAATTGCGCGTCAATCGTAACAGCTAATTACTGGCGCCGGGCCGGAGACCGAGGTAAAACGTTTCCACCGTGTGTACACGACGCGGCGACGGGTCGAACGAACGGCCTCGTCTGGGCTCGTAGAACGACGACGATGCCCGTCCGACTCATCGCACACCGGTGTGCTTAAGTATCAGTAATCGATACATCTTGTCTGCGCCGATGTCACCACACCCCCGTCCACCCCTGTATGTTCCGGTGTACGTAAGTACGTACGTACGTACCTATACCGTGAGTTTCGAGGGCCGTCGACTGGTCCTGTTCACTCGCCGTTTTCGGCCGACTATACCCGGCCACTTGGAGAGTCCGTTAAACACCGCGCTAACAACTTGGCACGACGCGTACCATCGAACTTGTCCAAAACGTTTCTCGCCGATTTCTCGAGCGTCCGCTCGCTTATAAAGTACCCCCTAATCTCTCTGTGCGCGTCCATTGTGTCAGGTGTCCGTCCGACTAGCTATCAATCAGATAGAAGGGAGAGCAATGTTACTCCGTACTCAGCCATGGACTCAGCTCCCCTTTGAAGCGAACCTCGATCGATCTCGATCTCTCGATACGTCTTCTCAAGGAATAGTTCATTGAGACAAAAGTATCGCAAATTTGTTTCAAGAGTCGTATAATGGTTTTTGGCTCGTTCTCTCGAAGAAAGGAGAGGACCAGCGGTTTAGGGTTTGAAAAAATGTTAATCCGGCGGTGTCTATGGTTTCCACGACGGTGGCCTGTCTGGGAAAACTGGGAGGAAACCGAGTCACTCCCAGCGTTTCAACTCCTACTCCTTCTTCTTTCTCGATCTCCCGTAATCTCGTTCCCTCGAGTTTTCCGCAGCCTGCGCGGTTATGTATCCGCACATGTATATGTACCGTGTCTAGTCTAGACTCGCGTGTACACGAAACACGTACGCCAGCTTTTCGTATTTTTCCTGTTATGGCGAAGCCATTTCGCATCCCGCTTATCCTCGCCGAACTATTGCCCCTCGTATGCTTCCCCCTTTTCGGATTCCCCGCTATTTATCTAAACGTCGCCGTGGCCGCTGGAAGAAGGAGCTGTCTGCGTTCCCGACGATGATCGAGCGAGATTTCGTCGAGATTCTGCCGGTCAAATTTCACGGCCACAGATGTATGAATATTAATCTTGCAAAACCGTTTCTCAAATTTATTCCGCACGAATCCCATTCGTTCATTCTTCCCGCTGTTTTTCTAGCCTCTGCTCTTGTCAGATTTTATAATGAAAATCGTAGGTACTCGGTTTATTAGTTATTCGATTTTACTATAAAATTCTGAGTCATCGATCTCGATCTTTATTGGTTCGGAAACCCGTATCATTTTTGTATTCGAACAAATTGTCAATGCACGGGAATTGGGGAGATTCGAAAATCCACTTCTGGGGAGAATTCGAGAGCAACATATTTCGGGAATGCGAAACACCGTGGCCGTACAACGGTCTCGGCGCAAGATGTTCCCTTTTCCTTCGAAACGTTTCTTCCACGAACACCGGGACCGTCATAAATGTAGCGTATAAAGGAATATCCCGATTTCACTTCGTTTATATTTTCGGTGCTTTCGAGGAATATATTGTTTTGGTCTCTTATTCGATTTCCAGTCGGGACTCACTGCTTCATTTTCCGAATTACATCCGTAAAACGAGACGCGGCAAAGATTCGCAAATTTATTTACGCGCTCTTACCAACTGTCTCTTCCCAGTCAATTTCTACGCAAGACGAGTCATTGATCTTTGGTCACGTTTCGTTTTGGCAGAATGAATTCGTGCGTAAAACCGCTGCACGTGACGCTCCTCACTGCCTCGCCCTGCGACAGAAATGGTCTTCACCTTGAATAAATCGAATTGCGATGCTTTTACGAATCCCATCAGGTGTAATAATAATTGATTCAGATCGGGCGAAGCGTCGTGTCACGGGTTCATTAACGTGATGAAATGTTCAATGGCACGGGCGCAAATTGCTCGAGTGCACTTACGTTGATTTATTGCAGACGCATTAAGTACAGTGGCTCATGGAAAGTGCACACTTTCTCCCGTTTTTTGCCACGCTGAATCACATGCAAGATCAATCTAAATCTCATCATTCAGATTTCTATAGTTATGAGTATATCAATCGAGCGTCCACCGAACTTTTCGTCTATTCTACTACATTTTTATCAACTCGCTCTCTTGTCTATTTGTTCGATGCAAATTTTGAGTGATAATGATAAATGATTTTAAACTAGTTTCCTGATGAGCTAAAGACTAAATAGGAGAAAATAATTATTTAAATAAAAAAGAATGTTTAATACACCACGTTTTTAAAATGGACTAAGAAGTATAAAGTAAGTATAAAATACTGCATGACTAGTACGTCTCACGTTTTTCGTTTTAAATCTTACAAATATTTTATAATTATTTTATAATTTTTAGTCCGTTTTAAAAACATGATGTATTAAAAATTCTTCTTTACTTAAATAGTTATGTCCTACGAATTAGGACACTTTGATGGGCTCGGAGACGTGTAATTCCAAACTAACCGATAGATACGTTTTACTTAAACGTGACAGGGAATATTAGGCTTGTTCGGTTAAGGCTTCCCTGTCGCGTAGAACGTGACCCCGTGGTGGAAACGTGAGGAAACCTCGGCAACGTTTTTTGAGATACTCTGCACAATCGCAAAATGTAAGAAATGATCGCGGTGTGCAATTACAATTGATTTCAGGAAGCAGAGACTCGAGTTTCTCTCGAGCGATCATTAATGCAAATCGTCATTAGGCTTTAAACGTAGTTCTTTTGGTCGCTTAACGACCGTGCAATAATATCGCGGGTGTTTCTGCAACGTTCATGCTAGCACGTGAGAAACGTATTTTACGTATTAATATAATTTCCTTTATCACGATTTCACGATCGGATTTTCTGTATTCCAAGCAGTGTTCACTTTCTCTGCAAATTCGATTTCATCGTAAGATCCGCAGTCTGACAATGAGTCCACGCCGGGTAATATTGTACGATTCGTTTATTTTTTAGACGGTTATAACGTGGTTCGATTTAACGATTCGACAATGCCACTTCGTAAAATTTCGTTCGGACGATCAATACTTCCTGCCGATTCCGAAGAAGAGTTTCTTGTGTAGTCGGTTCTCTCGGAAATTTTCCAACGGGAGAAGTGGTTTCCGGAATAAAGGGGGGGTGGGGGGCTGGGGGTGAAAAAAAAGATTGCGAGCCAATGAAAGGAAGCGTTCGCCCCGTTTTCACGAACCCCGACCATCTCGATTCCTCGCGTGCCGCGGAATCGAAGATTTTTCGCCCACTTCAAATCCGAATCCTTGCATAATGCCGGCCGATGATGAAATATTCCCGCACCTGCAAATCGAAATCTCGACGTCAGCCTGTACACCCCTCTTCATAAATCTTTGCCACGCGTTCTTCAATGTACAATCGACGATGACGAACGATATAAGCATCGATGAACAAACGAAGTTCGATGACGTCTTAATGAAACGTTACAACGATGTTATTTGTCACAAGCTTTGTCACGTTATATACGATGTGAAGACTACGTAATTTATTAGACGATTCGATACGGTCTCTGAACGGAGGAAGCGTCTGATGAAATATTTGTCAGATTTTTTACTCGGACGTTTCTGGACGAGTGTGTACACGTATATAGAATCCAGCCTCGCAGGGTCGTAGGTGGCTATAATCAAAATGCAAAACTCTTCGACTCTCAATTGCATGGAATATCGGAATATCCGGGGCGCGAAGTGGATATCGAGTTACCTCAGACACGGGTGAAAAACTGCGCGTTCCTTGTGCACGAACTTCCAAGTAGGAGCAGGAGCGGTGGAGGAGAAGGAGGTTCACTTTGAAATTTTCAACCGCTCCCTCAGATTATTCTATCATGTTCCGTGGAATCGGCGATATACAAAGGGAGACCTAGGAAAGATTTCTTTTCGTTGATCCTCGCCTCTGCGGACGGAATAAGTAATTGGAGAACGCTCGTCCCCCTCTCGCACTCGTACAAACCACCCCTTCTATGATTCGGTCGCATAAAATTTCGCTCGGCAATTTGGGAGATCGTCCAATCGCAAGGGATGAATGGATCATAAAACATGATGGGACACGGTCCCCGTGATTACCTCGGGTAAATCCGGCTGGAACAATGGTAAAACTTCGACTCGAGTTACCCCGGCGTAACGCCTCTGAATCTTACGGTACGACTTCGCGATTTCCCTTTTCTATGCAAATTCTCGTCGCGGCTTACGTCAGGGGCGAAATAGCGAACGGTCGCACCGACAGGCATCGCGGGTATAAACGTGGACGCTCCTCGTCGGGCGAATAGATTCTTCGGTCAAACTTTACTGGAACCATTTTAGAATTCAAAATTCGTACATACTTGACACGTACGAAACGAAAATTCTTCGACGCGTCAAATGTACGTCAGTGAAATGAAAATTGTCGAGATAAAATTCAAGATCCACGACGATTACCTCGAATGCCTTTGGAATCGCGTTGCAACTTGTATCCTGTGTACAACGTCTAGATCCCGCGGTACGACTTCGCGATTTTCCTCTTCTATGCAAATTCCGGATCGTGGCTCACGTGCAGGACGGCAGGCAGCAAGCGGGAGACGGCTGACAGGGATTGCAAGCGGCTGGCAGAGTGTAAACGCAGACGGGCGCACACACCGTCGGACAGACACAGGGTTGCGGCGGGCAAACGGTCGTCGGTTTCCCGTGCGGCAGAACTTCCGGCCGATTGTTCCTCATTTCTTTCATCAAGGCTATCAGCTCCTGAATTCGATGGATCTTGTCCCAGAAACCGTCCCTCTTCGGTTTCTTCTTCTTCTCCTTCGTTTGCGTAGTCTCGTGGACCGGCGGCGGGGGTTTGCATCGACACGTCAGTAGTTCCGGAGGCAACGCCGGAATGATGGTCGCGCTGCCCCAGCAGAACGACTCCAGATCCATTGTATTGACCTCGCGCATTTGATAACGATAGTGCTCGTCGGTCTCTTCGCGAGCGTAGAACACCTTCTCTATGTCCGTCGGTGTGTGCAGTTGCGTGACGATGCACTTGCCGAGGTAGCTGATGCGAACGTAGAGCTCGATCGTCGCCCGAGTCACCTCCAGTTCCTCGTTCAGCAAGTTGAACGTGCCACGCGTCGATCTGCACGTTAAACACGAGCCGTTTTTCTTCTCACTTTTTTTTTTATTCGCCAGTGGGCAAAAGCGAATTTGCGAGCACTCGTATGAACGAGTGCGTTTTCACGTTCTTTGAAGAACGACGATACCTTGTCTCTTAATTCGTGTATCATACTTCATATACGAATACATCTCGCGATAGGGAATTCGTTCAGCCAAATCGTGCAACAAAAATATCGTGAATAGTTCGAACGAATATGACTCGAAGACTGACGAAGGAGTCGTAGTTTAGAAGCGAACGTTTCGGGCTCGTCCGACTCGTTTGGCTCGGCGTGTAAAATGTTTCGGACTAATCCGAACGGGGTAACAAGATTAATGGAGGCTGCGCGAAAACAAGGACACAAAGCCTTTTAAGAGGGGTTAGTCAGAGATTTCGGATGGAGGCGCGTCAGCTGGTTTCCGATACAAACGAACCGGAACCTGACCCGAGAGCAGCGCGTGTACGCGGTACAGCGGTTTTTTAAATTAACTTGGCCGGAAGTAACATTCGCCGTCCTGTAATCCGTTTGGTCCCGAGATTTGCATAAACGCCAGGTCCGCGTATTTAAATGCGTTCACCTTGATATAGGCTCCCGCTCCAGCTCGCTCGAAAAATAACCCTCCAGCCATTTCCGTTCGCGCAGGTCCTTGATAATGCCGTTAAAGAGGTCGTCCACCCTGACGAGGGTGAATCCGTAGTTCCGTCGCGGCTCCAGTTCGAAGTACTTAGACACGGCCTTGTAGATGTACAATTGGAGATCGACGCCGGACATTTCTCGTTCCAGCGCGCTCTCCGGTAATGAGAACAGCACCGATCTCCCGCCGTAAAATTTTTCGTTCTCGTAATTAGACCCTTGATAAGAACGGTAGTCCCGTCGATTCGGCATCAGCGTCGTCCAGTCGTCGTCCAGCATTCGGAACATTATTACAGTCTTCTGTAGGAGCACCGAGTCGAACACGTCCGCCCACGGCATGTACAGCTGTGCGATCGTTTATATTTTAGAGTCTGATATTTTTTTCAACCATTTGTACAGATTTCTGAAGCGTAGATTAAGTTAAAAGTATCGCTGCAGGGAAGACGCGAGAGTACGAATAACCGAGCTGATTAACGGGTGATTTAGAGGCGATCCCTCACATTTTCCACGGCTAGCTCGAGCAGTATCATTCGTGAATCATGCACCACGATGAGGGAGGACATCCTGGCAGCGGTCGTATAATATATTGCCACGCGTTATTCGTTTCACGCTTCCTTCAACGAGTTCGCGGAAAGAGCCACAGGAACTTTGATTTATCGTCGATGAAACGTCGAGAAGATTCAGAAATTTCACCCGGTTACAAACTATTTTCTGTGTGTGGGAAAGTTTGAGGTTGGAGCGTGTCGCCTCTTCCGAATTCGCGACATCGCTGCCCCGTCATCGGAGTGCTTCGGACACGGTTCTTTCGAGAAATAAATTTTATCTCGCTTCGACCATTCGCCAACTTCGTTTCTCTGTCCTCCCGAATGATGAACCCGAGATATCTCTCCCCTCCTGGCCGACCGTTTCTAATCGCGTTTCGGCATAAAATGCTTAGCAGACGGCCGTAAAGAGGGGAAAGTTTAATCAGAGATCGGGCCGGAAGAATAAATGGATTTTGTCAAAGGACCTACGTTAGAAACTTCCAAGTTCACCTCATCAATCTTTCAATCTACGAGTAATCGTTCTTCTTTCGTTTCCGTTTCTTTTAAACGAATGTACCGGATGAATCGCCGTTTGTTTCGGTAATTTAAATTTACCAATCGAAAAACAGCGAAATCAACGTGGAACGTTATAATTCCTGTACGTCTTTTATACGTTAGAGACGAACGACGTTTGACACGCACCGATTTAATAAATTCGCGTGGTCGATGACGCTCGACAGCCGGACGGTCGTCCTTTGCGAGCTTCCGAGATTTGTTTGCGGAACGTTGGATGCGCCCGAGAACCAGTTTCCGTCTATCTGTCCCGTAAGTGGAAACGCCGTTAAAAATGCTTCGAGAGGAACAGGGAGCGTCGGGGCGTGGCATGCCGGGGAAATAAAACAACGGGAGCAACAACGGGAAAAAAGGAGGAAGTCGGGGGTTCGGAAAGGAACCGCTCGGAGGGCGGAAAAATCGTATTAGCGACGGAGATAGATAGGGGGCCGCGGTAAAAATCGGCGAAACACGGGCAATTTATAGAGACGGTGAATGCGCGAAAACGCGGACGCAATTTATTGGCAACGCCGGGAACAACGATCTTACCCTAAAGATGCGTCGTAAATCACGCATCGTCCTCTTCGAACATCCGAGATGGAAGAAACCGTAATAACCCGCGATCCAATAGTTTCTAAATAAATTTCTCCGGTCGTTTCGACGATCGTATCTCCGATCTTGGGACCTTGACGAACGCTTTTGCGGACACTTTGATATTTCGATCGATCGGTTCAAACGCTTCTTCAGCTTTTGTACATCGGACGAATCGCCAAATGTCATCGAATTCCAAGGAGGTGAAAATGACTCATCTCGGTATGTGAAGGTATACTGCCTAAAATTTTACATGAAAAAGACAAAAAAAAATAGAACTGTTCCACAGAATTAGTTATTTGCATATTTTGAGAAAAGTCATACGAAATGTTGGAAAACAAAATGTACTGAAAATGAATAATGATTATGAGAAATGCGAAACGAGTCATTTCGACTCCCCTTGGTACATCTAGTGTTAATAAGCAATGAGCACTCGAGAGTATTTTAAGAATAAGAGCGTGCAGCGAAGTCGTAAAGTAATCTCTTAAGTGGTAAAACTGCGGTACAGCGGTACAGCGAGATCGAGACCACGTACAATTTACTTTTAATACTTACATAAAGTCGTGCGATTTTTTACATACTTTGGCAAGTGTTCTGTATTGTCGTTCTAAATTATTTTCCTTCCTGAGGCATAATTCTCGCAGTACAGTAGCTCGGACGTCGTTCACCACGGCGTTAATCTTTTCGCGTTTCGCCGGAGCACGTCACGTCGTAAAACAGAATTTCGCAACGTTTTGCAATGTTTCTCGCGTTCGAAAGAACTCTTTCGCCGACGTGGGTCACAGTTGGTAACAGGGGGAGAATTAACAATCGTTATAAAACCTATGTCGACGGTACGAAATAAAAAGGGTGAATTACTATAAAATAATATTCGTATAAAACGGCCTTCCAAGGTCTCCTGGTCGAGAATCGTTTGTCACGTGTTCTCGTGTTATGAATTAAAATGAGAACGGAATGGTTCAGCGTGTACATCGACGAGGCATTGCGATCTTATCAGAATTCGTATGCTTTTGTACGATCAGTTTTTATTTGTTCAATCATGAAAATAATCAAGACCGACGGTGATACCGTAAACGCGATATTTAATACGTTCAGAATAATTAAATTCTATTAGCACATAAAAAACTGGCTGGAAGAGAAGCGAGATTTCACGTACGCTCTGTTATTCGACTCTCCGTTCCATTTCTACGGTTCGTCCAGTTTCTCGATAAAAATGATGCGTGGGTATCGGTAAAAGAAGAATTGAACCGGCACCGGGTGCCACCCTTCGTCAGTCCCGATCGATTAAACAGATCCACTAATACATACGCGTATGGAACGAGCTTGGGACTCGTGTGAACGACGGTATCTGACTCTTTTAATCGGGCCACCATAAATCGCTCTTTCAGCGGCTCCGTCGTTTTCGCGATCGCTAATGGATCGACGGGCCAAATATAAATTGCTGACACGGTTAATTCAGGCTCGATGCGAAATAAAACGATCGACTTCGGCGCCGAATCGGAGCGTCCTGATTACGCGAATTCGAGCTAAGCTACCTAAATCGGTCCGCGTTTAACGCTGATTCTTTCGGATAAAGGAGCAGGACTCGACGGTAAATCGATTCGAGCGCTATTGCCCGATCCTCTTTTATAACGGTTCATCCGTTGAAACGCGCTTTGATACGGATCGGAGGATCGATACGTTCGACTCGTCGAGTAAATCTTTACCGTTGCGCACCCGGTATTAACGATTCGCCACGGTGTTCGCAAGTGCTAATCGTCAGGTGTCGGCAGATTGCAAATGCAAATCATACCGTGCAACAATGCGAGCATGTGCGAGGCTGTTGCTGATTATCCGGCCGTACAGCCGACCGGCCGTTCATTGCATGCACCGGACATGCTCGATATTGACAAATTGCCTAAATTCTACTGGACGGTACAACAAGAGTTTGTCGACAGACAATTTCCAATGACGTGCAATCTACCCTTTACGCGTCATCCAATTCACTGTATAATAGAAAGTATAAAATAATTACAAAAAACTTGTAGGATTTAAAACGAAAAACGCGGGGCGCACTATTCATGCATCGATCTATTGTACGCGCCCCACGTTTTTCGTTTTAAATCTTACAAATATTTTATAATTACTTTATTCTTTCTAGTCCGTTTCGAAAGCACGGTATATTAAACATTCTTTTTTATTTAAATAATTCTTTTCTCCTTTTTAGTCTGTAGCTCATCGGGAAGCTAATTTAAAATCAATTGCAAAATTTTTACCGAACAGGCAGACAAGAAAGCGAGCTAACAAAAACGTAGTAATAATAATTTATTTGGCTGTCCGTAGCAGACAACCTTTTTCCCGTATAAGGCCATGTTTCATTTTCTGAAAGATTCCTCGGAGCCGTACTCTAAGGTCTTATGAGAATTTTCTGCCCAATTTTCTACCTACATTCGACGATAAATAAAATCTATGAAAATTCGTATGAATAATCGTTCGACTCTTTTATTCGTTTGATCTCTGCTCGGGAATCTATGCGTGTCCTAAATTTAAAGAAACACGTCGGGGCGTGCATCCTGTCCGTCGGTTTTCATCGATCGGCGCAATTAGAGCGATTGCGAGTTGCGTCGGTGTGCGGGAGTGCTTGACCCATCTTCGGCAATTAATGCAGTCCAAACATCCGGCAGCCGGCGCGCGCTCTCGTACGCCCGCGGATCCGTGAATAATGGTAATCGCGGCCGCGTGTAACGCGATGACACGGAGAAATTCCGGCCGCTGTTTCTTAAGCGACGCCGAATTCCGCTCTACTTCCGGTTTAATGAACAACACTCGCGGCGCAGCAGCTGTCGCGCCGAAATATTTCGATGTACGCCGCCAGCCGTGAGCATCGGAACGCCTGCCAAGTTGTTCCCAGTGTACTACTTCGAAGAGATGAAACATTTTTTTCGGATTCGATTCGACGAGTGATACGACGAAATCAATTATTAAATCAGACTTGGAATCCAGCGGTACGACAATTATTATTTAAATTAGTGCGTGGAACGTCGTATGCATCGCTGCGTGTTCTGGAAGCAAAGTTGGGAAAATCGTACGACAAATATTCATATGAATTTTCCATGACGGTACTCGCGCGGTGTCTGCGAGCGACACGGCGACGCGCGCTTCAATTACGATAATTGCGAGTTCGAAGCGACGGTCGATGCTTCGTTAGAAGTTAATACAATTTAAACGGACCAGCCTAATAGCCGGTGTCTTCCCCAGTCGATTTACAGTCGGACTAACTCGCAAGTGAATTCGAGAATCTCTCTCAGGTGTGTATTAAACATCTTCGAGTTTGATTGCGAACCGTGCAAGTAATAATTGATTAATATCAACTGAGAACTGACAGTCCGAACAGATACGAAACACTGTGTCGTTACTTTATGTTGTATTTACCGTGTACTCGTTTACCAGAAAATTTGATCACACGTATGAACGATACGGAAATATGTCGAGTGAATCGGTTAAAAAAAGTTGCCCCGGTTAATCTCGTCGTAACGCATCGATCCGGCAGGTCGCAGCTACATGGTCTACCTAGATCGGGCAACGACGAGCCATGGAATATTTTTCGGTGCACGTTTAACGGACTGACCGAGCGAGTAGTAATTTAAACCCGCGCGAATAAAATTTATTCGCTCCCCGGGAATAAAAAATGTTCGAATACATAATACGTAGAGATCGTAGGAGTTTAATTATTTTAGCAGCCAGGTTAATGAAAGAAAAACGTTTTTATCCGGAGTGCAACTTGCAATCAGATTAATCCGTTTTACCCAGTGATGTAAGACTTGAGGAGTTTCAACCGCAGTCCGTCGAGAATATTCTTTGTATATTCTTTGTACGTACCATTAGTTTGGAGTTGTTCAATCGCGATTCACTGAAAT